TTACCAAACCAAAGATGGTCAGACAGTGAACACCGAGCTTTGCAGTGGAGAAATTACTTGTTTGTAGGCAGGGTGCCAAGCCTGGACACAGGGAAGCTGTGGATTAAAACCCAATCTCCTTGATGGATTTCGATCGGGTTTTTAAAGGCAAATATTGAGGGCTAGGGGTTAAAGGCAAAGCTGATGGGTTTGTTCTTGTGCCAGCCTTAGTGGTTTTGCTTACTCTGATTAGTTTAGTTTCTGACATTGTCTTGTCTGGAGCCTTGTACCTCTGGTCAGGTGAGCTATCTGGGTTGAGGAACCAAGATTTGCAAAACATCTCACAATTGTGCATCAGGACATCATTTTTAAAGCAAAAGACAGAAAGTAAACACCTGTGACTGTTGTTATTGTTTAACCTATCATTGCTTTATGCCTAACTAACCACATTTTTCTATTATCTCCATCAAAGTGCCCTTTGAACATCTTTCCTGGAACTTGCTTGACAGGCAGGTCCCCAGGACATGACTGACATTCTTTCTTGACCTTTCACTATGAGCTATGTGACAACCAAAGCTATTGAAAATATTAGTTAAAGCCCATTCCTGCATCTCCAGACTCTGACACAATGCCTAACCATGTTGACTGTTAGCTGTGGGTTTCACCAGGTAAACCCGTGGCCAGGGGCCTCACCTGGGTCTTTGCACAGCACATTAGTGCCATCAAGTCTCTCAGATTTGCTGCATTTCCACTTTACTCATTCAACAAATACTCATAAAGCACCCACTGTGTGATACAGGCATCCAGTGGTGAAAACGCACAGTCTCAGCCCTGTGGAAACTGCATTCCCTATGGTAGCTGTTTCAGACGTTCTCTTCTCAAAGCCTGGCACCCTCCCTGCCCCGCCAGCCCCCATTTTCAGCTGCGATGTCACTCTGGTCTTCACGGGGACCATAAATGCAATGAGTAGAATGCCAGCTTCCATCTCATACCAAGAGGTTTACTGAACAGAATAAAGAAGGCTCTATTTACAAAACACGGACAGGGATACAGGGAACAGGGGCTGGTGTCGAAGCCTGGGACCAGCAGCGGTGGCATGTGACACCACCCTGTGCGCTGATGACCAGCCAGCCTCTTCTGTCCCCTGGGGGCCGGTGCTGGAGCTGTGACTGCAGCCACGTTTCTGCTTGACCAGCAGCCCCCACCCCAGGCTCTGCCAGCAGGAGGCTCTGGGGACTGGCAGGGCGAGAAGGCCCCCACGTGCTACCTGTTGACTCCCACCTGTGCTCACATCACCACAGCCTTCTTCACCTGGAAGCCACAGTTTCATTTAGGTGAACAGCACCTGGCTCCAATTCCAGGTCTCCCACGTGCCTGAAGTCAGACTAATGGAGCCTCCACAGACACCAATGCCAGTGGGCCAGCATCGGCCCCCCACAGGTTGGTGTCTTTGTTCTGGGAATCACTTTGAAGAACCTTCTCTTTGTCCCCCAGCCCTAGAGACTGTGACTGTCTCTGACATTTCTGTCTCTCTTTTGCCTCTTCTGTCCTCTGGTGATTAACAAACATTCACTTCAAACTCTTTATGCTAAATTTCAGTGTGGTTTCTGATTCCCAACTGCACCTGGGCTGACACCCCCCAGGCCCTCTACTCTTCTCACTCTATGAAGTCACTGTGAAACATGACCTGACACCCACCTGCTCTCCATGTCAGCTTCTCTTTCAGCGTCTCTCCTCTTCGTGAAGGGAACTGCTCGCTCTAGTTAAAAACTCTGCTATCGACCTTGGCTGTGCTACCGCTCTCATCCCCACATCTAAGCAGTTGTTTCCACCTCGTAATCATCTCTTACACCATCGCTTTCTCTCCAAGTTCACTGCTGCTCTCCTGATACATCGCCTTTCCCGGTATCACGGTCACTTCTTCCTGTCTCCAGTTCCGCCCGGCTCAGTCCAGTCCCGCCACTGCTAAATTCTGGACGTGTGCTTCTGAACTAGTAGCGAATGCCGCACAAGGAACATGTAACAGAGTTCTATTCTTCTCTACCTCAGTCCCTCCTGGGTGACCTCACCCAGTCTTGTGGCTTTAAGTACCATCCATATACCACTGACTCCCAAATTTATAGCTCCACCTCAATTCAACTATTTTCTTCCCAAAATGTGTCATAGAAAAAACAGAAGCAACGTATAATTATGCCAATACATGAAGAAATTTAGCAGTCATTCAAACTTTTTAACAAAGTAAAATAGAGCTTCCCCTCCCTCTCTCTCTCTCTCCCCCTCTCTCTCTGCATGCACACCCCAGGGAAAGGCCATGTGAGGACATAACCAGGAAGGGGACCGTCACCAAGAACCCACCATACTGGCGCCCTGAATTCAGACTCCTGGCCTCTAGAACTTTGACAAATAAATGTTAGTCGTTTAAGCCAAAAAGACAAAAAACAAAAACAAAAAGTCAAGTTGGAATTAAAGGTAACTATTTAAACACAATGTAGATAGCAAATATTAACAGCAAATACCCAGAAGGACAAACACTTAATACCATATTAGTGAAAACCAAGAACTAAAGAGGAAGCCTGCTAACGTTATTATTCAACTTCACATGGGGAATTCTTAGCACATTTACTACAAAAAGAAAATGAAATGCTTGGTATTCACATTAAGAACAACAAAAAAAATGAAATTATTTATTTGCTGATGACTAGGAAAAACTCAAGGGACTCTAATGAGTAAAGAAAGTAGTATTAATTGTAGAAATTGGTAAGTTCGCTGGATACAATATATCAGTACATTTCTTCCTTCTGAGCAGTAAGACCTGAATAAAGGAAATGAGAAGACTGTTTCACAATACAAACGAGCATATAAATTAATAAGGAATAGAATTAATAAAGGTGCATGATTTCTATGGTGAACTCAGTACAAAATTCTAAGAGTATAGAAACAGTTCCTACTGTATAAGAATTTAATAAATAACTAGATGGTATATTTCAGTTTAGTAGGAGAAAAAGATGGACAAGAATTGGAAAAATGGTGATATCTCACGTGTGAAAAAGGGTCATAGATGCCAAAACGTACTTAGATGACACAGATGTTAGAATTTTCTGACTAGATTACAGCAGGTATTGTTTTTAAACACTCCAACAATTGTAAATGCTCTTGAAATAACTGAAAAGATACGAAGTCTAGCAAAGAAATAGAAGATGTAAGAGGATCAGATGGAAATTTTAGAAGTGAAGGACAAAAACCAAAACAATCCAGTGGTCCCTAATTTATTTGACATGTTACTATCATTACCATGCGATTTGCGTCCAGTGTTTTTCTATGATAAATATATGCCTACAAACACATCTTTTTTAAGCAGACTCTCATGACCCTCTGGTTGTGGGTCTTTTGTTTCCTGCACCCCAGACTCACAGGGCGAAGGCCAGCCTCACTGATTACAGAGGAACATTTCCTACTGGGGGGGGGGGGAGCAGCTCCTACTGGCCTCTCCCTGTGCCCACCTGCGGAAACATATTGGTGCAGGCTCATCACAGCCCCTGTCACCTTCTAAGACCTGCAGCAGTCTGCATGGTCCGGCGCCTACTTCATGCCACAGGACACAGGTGCCAGGTGGGCAGCTGGCATGGCACAGAGCCCATCGTGATGTTGGTGCTTTTGTTGCTAGTCGTCGTTTGCTTTTTTTTGTTTTTTGTTTTTGGCTTCAACTTGCTTTCTTTTCCTGATCCTTTGACAGGACAAATTTGGGATGAGCTGCACCTGGGTCCAATGTCACAGCCACAGAGATGAAGGGCGTGGGCATCTATTGTACGAGGAGCCCTCACCGGCTCAGGGACTCGGCAGCTGTGTCCCCTATCTGCGTGCTGGCTGCGTCAGGCGTGCCCTGTGCGGGGTCTGCCCACAGCACATGCCAGGGCACCAGGAGGCACCGGCCAGCACTGTGGCAGAGGCTCTGTGAGCTCCCGGGAGGGGACAGCAGGGACGAGGCTCCCATGTGGGGTAGAAAGAGAGGATCCTGTTTCACAATTTTGCCTCCAGCCTGAACTGCCGCCCAGCAGGACGGTGGCTGGGACAAAGAACTGCCTGGGCCCTCTGTGCTGCCCTGAGCACAGCTTTCCACAGGACCGTCAGGTCAGCACCTGACCAGCCAGACGAGAGACCCAGTGTTGGTCCCAGGCAGCTGGCAGGGTCCACGCCTGACTCCTGCTGGTAGCTGAGCACCCTGACTGGCCCCTCAGCCACTGCAGATGTTATTTCCTGTGTGAACCTCTGTCATACATGTATTTATCCTAAGTGCGTCTTACACCTGAGGCTACTCATGTGGCAAGCTCTTACTTTGAGGTGGTCATCTGGTTTCCCCATAAATCACAGCCCTGAACTGGGCAGGGACAGTCCTTTGGCTCCTATGTGAACAGGAGAGACAGGAGCTGAGTTGCAGTTCTTGTCCCCAAGCTCACAGTCTTTTCTGCACTGGACGCAGAGCAGAGTGATGGCCCTGGGGTCCCAGCTGGGTCATCAGTGGCTCCTGGCTGTTTGCTGACCATCGCTGAGTGTCCTGGGAAGTATCTGAATCCTGCAGAGGGACACGGGGGGACATGAGACACAGCAACAGGACCAGAGAACAGACAGGCTGGAGCCAGTCCTGTGGCCCGAGTAGGTCCTACCACCCCTTTCTTACCACCCCCATCAGAGCAGTTATTAAAAAGTAAGCAACCTAAAAATAGCAAAATAGAACACAAGCTGGAGAGCTGATGGAACACCAGGGGGTCGGTGACAAAACAAAAAAGTCTCAAGTCCGACTCTGTGAGCGGCACAGGCTTCCTGACCCTGACATTGTGCTGGGGACACAAAGCAGCTTCCTGGTGATCAATCTGTCCCTTTCTCATCGCTGTGAGAGAAGGATATTTCCTGATCCCCTGACCCCTTTCAGGACTAGCTGAGTACAAAAGACTGGAGCAGTTCACTAGTGTCCGCCCCACCCCACGGACACACACACACAAGTTTCATTTCTGAGTTTCCTTCAGGCTGAGTTAACTTCCTGGTCATGGTAGGCTAGGTCTGGCAGCTCCCCGGAACTCCAGCTCGTGTGTGACCCTCTGCAGTGTCCAGGTAGTGGGAAAGGGCCGGGCCAGGGTGTGTGGGGGGACTCAACAGCTGGGGGTAGAGGCAAGTGGCAGGAAGGAGCATCTGGGAGCTGGAAGTCAGGTCATGGCCTGGACAGTCGCTGTCACCCATGTCTGCTTTCACTTTCCCCAGGCTCCATGCAGACAAATCTCAGCGCATCCAGGATGTGGTGGGAGAGCAGGCCCAGCAGGGTGCCCTGGGGCCTCTGGAGGGACACAGCCCCCTTGCCACAGAGGAGCCTGCTGTCCCTGGGAATCACCCACCATGGAACTACGGGCCCTGCTTGTTAGAAGGAAACAGGGGCTCCAGTAACTGTTGTTGAATCCTGGCTTCTGATTCCACCATTGTCAGTTCACTCTCTAACCTGGCTGGTGTGGGCAGGAGGGCAGGGCTGGGGTCCCCAAGCACACCCCTTGATCCTGGTCCCTCCTCCCTCATCTGCTTGGTGGGTGCTGGGGACACTGTCACTGCCTCATCCTCAGCTCTCTTTCCCTCCATCAGGGAGGATCACAGAGATAAAAAACGCATCCATCTAATGGCCATATCTCCCTCAGCTGTCTCCCTCCTGGGGTCCCCAAGAAACTATGAACCCGGTGTCTCTAACCCTTTGGGTTGGGGGTGGGGTGCAAGTGCTGTGATCCTCCATGAACCACCAGTCACCTGAGTGTCACCACCAGTTGTAAAGATATAATTCAAGAACTAATTATTCTTGAAATTGATCAAGATAGGAAAGGTTCACAGGCCCTCAGTTCTCTCTCTCTCTCTCTCTCTCTCTCTCTCTCTCTCTCTCTCTCTCTGTCTGTCTGTCTGTCTTTCTCTCTCCCTCAGCACTTGGCCCAATAAAACTTTCAGCAGTGATGGAAGATTCTATGTCTAGACTGTTCTGTCATGATGGGGATGTGGCTAGTGCGACTGAGAAGCTGAACTTTGAATCCGATGTTGTTTTAATAAATGGAAGTGGTCACATGATGGTCACAGCACAGTCCCATGTCATGCCCCTTCTGAGTCCCAGTACATTTCCTCTGTCTAGAGAGAAGACCTCGGGACCTGGGGGGCAGTGGCACCACAGCCCAGGTGACGACTGCTTCTGTCCCTGTGGGGGTTCTGGCGGCTCCTTCTCTGCCTCTGGGTGTGATCCTGGAGGTTTTCAGGAGAAGCCATGGCCTCAGTCACAGCCACCAAGAGGATGAGGGAGGAAGCCACCTGCTCCATCTGCCTGAGCCTGATGACTGAGCCGCAGAGCATCAGCTGTGGACACAGCTTCTGCAAGCGGTGCATAGAGGGCTTCCTGGACAACCTCGGTCACCAGCAGCCAAATCTGCGCCAGCACCCCTGTCCCCAGTGCCGGGCTCCATTCAACAGGACAAGCATGCGGCCCAACAAGCAGCTGGGGAGCCTCATTGAGGTCATAAAGGAGCTGGACCAGGAGATGACGTGCAAGGAGCACGGGGAGAAGCTGCACCTGTTCGACAAGGACGACGGCCAGCTCATCTGCTGGCGCTGTGCGTGGTCTCCACAGAACAGGTGGTGCACCTCCGCGCTCGTGGAGGACGTGTGCCCGGGCTATAAGGTGAGCCTGTGGGTCTGGGACAGGGTTCGGTGGGTCCCAATGTCATTACTGCACAGACCTGAGGTCATGCAGCAGACCCCTGAGCCTGCATCCTGATGGATGGCTTTCCCCATCTCCCTCTTCTGGAAAGTAGCTCAGGTGGGTCCTCCCTGATCAAGTCCCCACCATCCATCCTGACCTTGGGGGTTCTTGCGTGGAACAGTCAGACTCGTCCATATCCACTCTCATGGCAGGACCTTCTCCCAGCTCTAGAACAAACCCACACTCACACACTCGATTGCCTCACACTATGTGTGTGAGATTCCAGGCACCACAGGGGACAAAGTCACCAACATTCAGGCAACCCGCAGACAAACCAAGAATGACAGACCAGCAGAAATAACTTACTGGTGGCTTCTGGTGTGGGTGGTGGAGACGTGACTCATGAAGGCTACACAGAAATTCACTGTATACAGAAGTGTGGAGGGAAGTGAGAGCATCCCAGGCCCAGGGCACCACAGGGCAAAGGCACAGTTGAGGGAGCTGTGCTGACTTATCGTACCTGAGAGGCAGGTACCAGCTCAAGTCCAAGTCCTGCCCAGAGTGCTCCTGGCCTCAGAGACTGGCATGTGCAGAGTGAAGGTGACACTGAAAAGAGCCTCCTGGCAGTGACACCGTAGAAGGAATGTCAAGGAGTAAGATTCTGATCATTTCTGTAAGAAGGGAGGAGGGGCGGTTTTCAGCAAGATTCAGGAAGGGGGTGAAGGACGTGGAAATGACCGTGAAGAAGCTGACCCTGGCTGTGGGGGCGTGGGCTGAGGACACCATCCTGCTGCCTTACTCCCTCTCTGCCCTGTCCACATCTGAGGAAAATGTCTCCAGGGAGAGACCCTATTCCGTCCCCTCACAATGCCGAGGTGGCCTTGTATCATGGTCCTGGGCTGTCCATCAGAACACGTCCCTGGGCAGCCCTTCCTCAAACTCCACCGGTAGCTCTTTACAAGAACGGGGACATTTCCCACCAGGTAGCTGGAAAAGGGACAGCACAGGGGGAAGGTACTGAGCGTCAGGAGTTGGACTAGTGAGTTGAAATCTTAGCTCAGCCCCTGACTCGATGGGTAACTCTCACCCACTTATTTAATGTCTCTGTGTTCCCATCTGAAAATGGGGACAACAGCAGCTCTTTGCTAACAAGCATCACAGCCCTTTCTCGCCAACACAGGGCACTTGGTGAGTGTGCTGGTGGGGTGACAGAGGACAGGACCATGTTCTTTCAGTTTGGACCTTGACTAGAAATCTGGTTCAGCTTCAAACTGCTTTTCATGAGAACATGAAAAACTATTTTAAAAATAACCTGAAAGCTTGATATGGAAACTAAATCATTTTAAATGGGTTTCACGGGACCATCCTTTAAAAGATACCAGAGTGCCCCTCTTCCACGAACTGCTTTTAAAAGCATCAGCAGGTGCCCTGGACTTTTCTTCCTGACTCACCTAACCCCCAGTGTGCCACTGTGTGGCAGAGCACTGGCTACGTCGGATCAGCACGCTGTTCTATCAAATCTTCTATTAGATGATTATCATGCTCTGTGTTACGTCTCCCTGGCAGGATGGGTGTGGGGACTAGACCTCAGCAGGTGACGTTGGGCTCATAGTCCAACCACCTCCCAGTCGTAGCCCCTTGGGAAAGTAATGGAACCCCTTCCTCAGCCTCAGTTTCTGTAGACTGAATGACGTCAGAGCACTACCAGTGCTCAGAATGTCAAGAGTGTCAGATATGTCCCTGCACATACAGCCCTCAGCAGGCTCCTCACACAGTGTGAGGACTCAGTAAACATCCAGCGTGATTCCCACAGTCTCAGATGGCTAGGTCCCCCTGGGTGCCCAGTGAGGAGCTGCCAAACTGAATCGACTTTGTTCACCCCATTTTCCTCCAGGAAGAGCTCCAGAAAGCCGTGACAAATTTGAGAGAACTGGAAAAGGAGTGTAGGAATCGGAAAGAATTCATGACAAAGCAAATAACCGAATGGAACGTAAGAATTGGGGTTTATTTGTCTCAAGCTATTTTCTGTCCTAGAGCTTAGGCAGAGGGGCTGATCAGGTAAAGCACATGCGGTTGGTTCCCACTAAACCAGACCAAACAGGCGGAACCCCACAAAGAAGCTGTGATTCATTATCACGTCCTTCATTGTCTGCATGTTTGAGATCTTATCTCCTATCCTACCCTTTGGCTTGTCAATAGTCATTGGCTAGGATTCCTGACCCCTTGGTTAGGAGAAGCAGAGTGGGTGCATCTGTTCACCTAGAGCCGTCCTCAGCAGATTTCAGATTCTCAGCACCTCTGAGGACCTTCCTAGTCTGAAGGCCTCAACCTCAGCACCTTGGCACATTTACCACCACACAGGTGCCACTCTCGGCCTCACAGGCTCAGGAACCGATGCAGGTGGACAGTCACTGAGTCATCTCATGTCTGATAAAGGACGTGTGTTTCATTTATAAGGACAATCACGTCTGCTGCAAGAGCCACACCCTTACCACGGCAGACTCTGGGTCTCTAACTATTTCCATGGTCAGACATGCATTCCTTCAGGGAAATAGTTACATGACCCATCACTGGCCGGTGAGCCATCGTGTCTGGGTCACAGGTCTCTCCCCACCTCTGATCTGATGGACGTTAACTGTGACCTCTCAGAGGACACTGCTACTCCCCTCATTTCTGGGATCCTGTGCGGGCAGGGCCTCGATGATGACTAATGGAAACATTGTCCATGAGCCTCCTACCCCAACACCACAGTCACTGAAACACCACGAAAACCACAAAACACTCGTGGAAATTGCAATTCTGCATCTCCCAAAATGAAAGCTGAGTCCTACAGGATACACCATATGGTTTTGGTTGGTTTTACACATAGGGATGATTATGTGGACCCCAGCCTGGTAATAAACATGGTCAGTTACCTGGGATAAAAGCTAACCGCCCAGACGTCCCCCACTGAGAACCCCGGGCCCTCCTACTAGCCTGGCTGTCCTAACATCCATTCTTGGTGTGATGCTCATTACAAGTTATTGCTCCAAGAAATGCTCTCAGACTCACACTAACCTTGTCAAGTCTCTCATCAAGACTCCTTTCAATCTTTGTAACAGAGCATTGGCCTCGGCCCTAGCCCCCTGGTTACATTACCCAGTGCTCCTGCCCCTCCTTGCACCTGCCTCTTGGCTGAAAAACAAGGAAACGAATCAGGTGACCTTAGAGGTCCATGACCCTGTCTCCTGCACCCGAGTGCCTCCCAGGTGTGACTGCAGCAGGGAGCTGGGGGCATTCTTGCAGCTTGATGGCTCAAAGGCAAATAATTTCATGGCATTTGAGTAAACTTTCTTTTCTGTGCATGTGCGTTAAAATACCCATAACACAAAATCTACCATTTCCACCATTTTTAAGTGCCCAGTTCAGTTGCATTAAGTACTTTTATACTGTTGTGCAGCCATTACCACCGTCCATCTCCAGAGCTTTTTGTTCATTCCAAACTGAAAGTCTGTCCCCATCCCTCCTCTCAGATCTTGGCAACCTCTATTCTTCTTTCTGTCTCTATGTTATGACGACTCTAGGTCCCACACATAAGTGAGATCACAAGCATGTGTCCTTTTGTGTCTGGCTCATTTCACTCGGAATTCCTTCTTTAGAGCCCATCCATGTGGTAGCACGTGTCAGAATCCCATCCTTTTCATGGCTGAAGAGTGTTCCGCTGTATCTGTGAGTCACACTCTGTTGATCACTCAACTGTCTCTGGGCACACGGGTTGTCACCTCCTTCTAAACACACTTTTTTGACTCCAGAGGAAGGTGGAGCTTCAGAGACAGAAAATCCAGCATGACTTCAAAAATTTGCACAGCTTCCTGTGGGAGGAGGAGAAGTCTTACCTGTGGAAACTGGAGAAGGAGAACGAGCAGACTCTGAAGGCTCTGAGGGACAGCGAGGCCAGTCTGGAGCGCAAGAGGCATGAACTCGAGAGGCACATCCAGGACCTGGAGGACAGGTGTCAAAGCTCAGCCCAGAAGCTGCTGCAGGTGAGGTTGGGCACTCAGAGGAAGGAAATGAGGGGTGTGATCCTGAGCGATGGAGGGGACAATGGTGAGGCAGTGTGGGGAGGTAGGCGAGCCTGCCTGCCTCTCTCAAAGATGGCACATCAAGGAGGGACTTTGAAGCGGCCTTTCTTTTAGATGCAGATCAATGTCTGCTAGGTGGCTTCACTAGTCTATAAGAGTCTTTAGGTGGATCAGACCAACATGCCCCCTCTGGATGCATATGCAGATTTGTTTGGCCAAAGAATCTTGGGGTCATTCCTGTCCCATTTGACCCATCCATGTGCCCAGAACCCTGGCGTCAGTTTCCTGAAATACTTGTCCAGGTGACTGTGGGTGAGGAGGTGGGGCAGCCAACATGAATGGGAACCTTTCCCCTGATTTGCTTACAACAGCCCTGGTGCCTGGGCTCTTAGGGGGCCTATTAGGATGTAGCACTCCTGGCTGTTTATTCTCGCTCCACTAAAGGGCTGCAGGTCACCTCCTGAGGCTGCGAGCATAGTGTGACCGCTCCACCACCACCTGCTACCACCGCCGTGGTGCCCAGCCTTGGGGCTTTGTGACTAGGAAGGAAGTTAGATCAAAGAGAGCCAGGCTTGCCCGAGGGAGCATGGGGTGAGTATCTGGCCCTGCCCCCCAAGCAGCCCACAAGCTCCACAGCCTCAGCAGGACGATGGAGACTCAGGTGGACCCACATCCCACCGTGATGCACACCCCGGGCTGGGGAGGGCACCGTCCCTTCTGGGCACCCACGATGCCCAAGGCCGGGCCCCTGTCTTCGTTCCTTTGGAAGGAGTGTTCCTAGAGGGTGAACCCACATGCCAGGCTCCCTGGAATCCTGATGTCCCCACACTCACCTTTCGTCTTTTTTCTCTGTAGGGCGTGAAGGGCGCTTTGAGCAGGTGAGTGTTGTAGGAATGCAGGAGGAAGGGCATGGGGACACACAGCTGATGGGATGCACCGCTAAGAAGTGCCCGGCCTCTGCTTGTCCCAGGAGCTCGGCTGTGAAGCTGGATACACCGGAGGCCCCGTCTTTGGAGGTTCAGACTGTCTGTGATGTTTCTGAGCTTTACTTTGATGTGACAAAGCTGTTGAGGGGCTATCAAGGTACGTGAGCGCGTTCTCCAGGCTGAAGCACATACATGCTCATTCCATCCCCCACCAATCCGTGGGACAGATGGGATCATTCTTATTTCTATGTTGGAAAAGTTAGGTTCGCGTGATGACCTGCCTGAGCTCACACAGCTGGTCAGAAACAACACTCAGATCTGAGCACAGCTGGTTTTATTCCTATTAATTTTGCTGTTGGTGACAAAACCATGTCATTTCCTTTTTGTTTCAGTCAACATGACTCTGGATCCAGAGACAGCTGATCCTGAACCAATCCTGCCTGCGGACCATGAGGGCTTCACCTCAGGACGACATTACTTTGAAGTGTATGTGGGAGAAAGCAAACAGTGGGAATTAGGAGTTTCTATGGAAATCGTGCAGGAGGACATGGACACATTGTGGAAGCCCGAGTCTGGGTACTGGGTCATCAGGCTGTGCGCTGATGGCAACTACATAGCACTGACACGGAATGCCACCTTGCTTCATCTGCGGGAGCGTCCCCTGCTTGTGGGGGTTTTCCTGGACTATGAGGCGGGAGCCGTCTCCTTTTACAACATGACCACGGCCTCCCACATCTTCACCTTTCCCAGGGCCTCCTTCTCGGGGACGCTGCGGCCCTTTATTCATGTTTATCCCTCTTCTCCCCTGTCACTGTCTCCCCCAGATGAGTAAACAAAGGCACAGTCTCCTTCTTAGCTTCACCAGCATCGGGAAAATAATATAAATCCTGTGAGGCAGAATGTGGTCTGTTTTCTTCCCGCTATTTCCTTATACCTACAACAGTGTTGACGGGGCCTCTAGTGGGTCCTTAATAAAAGTGCTTTGAATGAGTAGCTGTAAGGACTGTGACAACAACATGGCTGGTCCGTCAGGAGGGAAGCAAGATAATCGCAGTGACCAGACCTTGTCCTCTCCATCCCCTTCCATGGGGTCAGAGCTCTGATTTCTGAGAGTTCTTGGATGACAAGCAGGGTGACCCAGATGTCAGGTCTGAGTCCTCCCAGTTTATTCGACATCATTTGATCTTGGTGGGGGGATGAGGGAAAGATGTAACTCTCCGCCTGCTGCAGGAAACTCAACAAAGCACTGCATCCTATGTGCACAGATAAGTTGGTGAACAGCCTGAGCCACGATGCTGAGTGTGGTAAGTGCAGAGGCTGTCAGACCTGGCGGAAACCAAGCCAAGTGTGAGAGAAGACTGAGACTGGGCTTAGAGTGAGATGCTGCGAAGGGGGAGGAGATGAAGAGGGAGAATGAAGTTTGCTGGGGGACACAGTCCTGGAATAGAAGCTGATGTTCTTCAGACTGGCTAGCACCACTGTCTTGAAATATTTCTAATCTCAGTCAACAGTTACTGCTGTCATGGTTGCTGGCTGTCTAGATTATCATTGAGATACAAACCAATAGGCCTTAATATTATGTGGGTTTACTTGGAAAAGTACATTTCATGTCACACCTAAATATTCAGACTTGAATTGGCTAATGACAGGACCATGATGCAGTCGCCAAAACATGTACAACATTAATGATGACTAAAACACGTCACAAAATCGCTGAACGTTATGATAGTTTCTGGTTGATATAAAACACGCTTTTCATTGATGTTGCAATTCTCTCACTTCCTTTCTCTAGAAACAGGGGAAATAAAGCAAGCAAGGTGTTTTGGGGTGTTGGAGGCATGATTGGGCCTCTCCCTCCATCAGAGGGAGACATGGCAGAGGTCAGGCTATCACCCACTCTCGCCAGCGTCATAAGTTCTCCGAGCCACACTGATAGAAACTGGGTGTAACTCGAAAGTGAAGAGCAGCAGAATACAAAACCCCACATACGTCACTTGGGCATAAGCTCTATATTGAGCCAAAGGCAGTTGAGAAAAAACAAAGAAAGAAAACTTTCTTGACCTCCCCTATTAGGCTAAAAGAGAACAAGACTTTGTAAAGGTTCCCCTTCCTCTCTGTACCAGGAAAGACAGAAGTTAATTGCCAGAGACAACTCTACACCCTTATCAACCCAGACACAGCACCCGAGGAACCTACAGAACAAACCTTGTGAAAGCCAGACCTTATTTACTATTACTTTCCCCATGTCAGTCTTCCCACATTTGCAACCTAGGAAGTCATTTTTGTCTTGCCACTTCTCTAAAAATACTGTTCTTTTGTGAAGATGCTATATTAGCCCAAGTCCCACCCTCTGCTCTGAGTTGCTGATGTGAGAGCATCTCCACCTGTACACAGGTACCCAGGAAAAGCGGCCTGTTTCTCCTCGGCTCTCTTACTGTGACCATCCTCACAGCACTCCACTTCTGACACCAGAGATAAAGGTATTTTTCCCACACCAAGTTGGGTGTCTCTCAATTCAGTTCAATTCTGACACTAACTGGAGTGAGACAGAACCCACAGGTTAAGGGTTCAGACCCACAAGACTGTCCCTGCCCACCCCCACCTCAGACACCAGTCACAAGTCCTGGTTGTCACTCTGGTTCTGACTGACCGGCTATAAAATCGAGGTTCCCATGACCCCATCTTAGGTTTCAATCATTTGCCAGGACAGCTCACAACTCTCAGGGAAATTCTTTGTTTACTGGTTTATTACTAGTAAAGGATATGACAAAGGAGACCAATGAGCAACCAGATGAAAAAACACGGAGGATAAAGTCCAGAAGGGTCCCCAGCACCAGAGCTTCAGTCCCTGTGGAGTTGGGAGGAGGTCCCCAGGCACATGGATGTGTTCACCTTCCCAGAAGCTCTCTAAAGCCTGTGCTTTTGGATTTTTAGGGAGGCCTCATCATGTAGGCGCGATTAATCATTAAGTTAATCCCCAGGTCCTCCTCCTCCCTGAAAGGTGGGGAGTAGAGCTGAATGTTCCAAGATTCTAATCTTCGCTGGGAATTCCTGGTGACCAGCCCCACCTGAAACCACACAGGAGCCCACCCAGAGTGGCCTCATTAGAATAAAAGATGCACCTATCACCCAGGAAATTGCAAGAGATTTAGGAAATCCATATCAGGAAGCAGAGTGGAAGAGCAAATATTAGAAAAAAAAAGATGCCTCTTTTAACACTTTTACACTTAGAAAATTACAAGAGTTTCATGAGCTCTGTTACAGGAACTGAAAGCAGAGACTAATACAAATTCTATTATGTCATATCATGCTAATAAAGTTCTATTTTTCTCTTATTAATCTGCATTTTGTGAGTCAAATATCCAGGGCCTTAGTTGGAGAAGCTAAGATGGGTAGAGGAAAAGAATTTTTTTTCTCCTAACACATGGCACCCCTGTGTTATTTGTCCCCTGTTTTCATGGTGCAAGCACTGACTCACTTATGGAGCCTCCAACACACTGGATGACTGAGAGACCCCACCGTCACGCAGGAGAAGTGAAGACACACTGGACATTGCTAAGCTAAACTCTCTCTCGAGGTCTCCTGCAGCCCTGTCTGATCTGGGTGCGTCCTGTCCAGTAAGGGGAGGCCCTGTATACTGGCAGGGCCTAAAGTAGAGTATTCTGCTCAGAGGAAATGCTACATCCTGAAACACTTAAATGGCTGAACAAGACAGCATAGTGATAAAATAAACCTTCATCTAAATAAAAATAATAAATTAACAAATTAAACCTTTGGAAATTGCATGGAAGAATATAATACAGATGTAAGTAGAAACAGACAGACAGCCAAGATAGCACAGTAGGTAAACTCTATGTTTACCTTCTCTCACAACCACATCAAAATTACAACTAACCTACAAAACAGCCATGATTGATAATCACCTAAATCAAGCTGAACTGAAGCCTTTCAACTAAGGACGTGCAGAAGAAGCCACCTCCACACTGGTGGGAAGGTCAGAGACGCAGAACGGGCTGGAACCACACCTGCGTGTGACAATTAAAGATCAGGAGAGATATTTCAGCAGTAGCGATACATGTGTGAGATATCCCAGCCCCACCCCAGCCCAGGGTTTTAGTGCCGGGGAGAGAAGTCTCCATAATTTTTGGTTGTGAAAACCAGCAGAGATTGTGACAAATGAGACTGGGTGCAGCTGCACTCACAGGCGCTCCCTTTAAGGAGTCACTTGGACTTACCCACCAATGGACTCACTGGCTCAGAGCTACAGTGCTGGAGCAGCAGCTGGAAAGGCGACAGAGAAATGGTGGGGAATTGAGTTGTCTGGCTTGAGACGGGGCTGGAGAGGCAGCTTTCTCCTGGATTGAGGAGCTGGTGGAGGCCATTGTTTCTTTGCTGAGCCCTCCCCTTCCTGGCGTGCAGACGCAGGTGGATGTCATATCTGAGTCTCGGCCATTAGTTTGCCCCACCCTGGCGATTTGAGACCTGGCTCTGCCCAACTTTAGGGCACACAAGTGTGTTTTCAGTGTCTTTCATGCAGACGCCTGCCTTGGTCAAACTGCAGACTTTCCTAAGGTGCCTCAAAGATACACAGAAACCAGACAAGCAGCACCTGGCTTGAGTGTGTCTTGTACCTATGGCTGTGCAGCTCTAAGCTGGCACTAGTGGGAACCAGCCTTGGTTTGCCGCTTGGGCTATGAGAGTGCTTCCAAGCACAGCACGGACTTCAGCCATTAGCAGTTCTATGCTCAAGGTACTATACTGGTTTATAGTTGTCTTAATATCTCAATACCAACCCAATCCAGAATGAATGCTGGCCCCTGTGACATGGCAGGAAGGGAGCCAGCAAAGACCCTGTGTCAGAGACTGCTGTGTGTTTACTATAATCCCTTTCCTCTTCTTCCTGAACTCTAAGTTCGACTCCTGCTAAGCCCTGCTTGTCAGCGTGCGTGGCCCAGTGACTCAGTTCTGGTTTGGAGAAGGTGGGCGAAGGGAGGTGTGCCCTTCCAGACTTGCCCACAGCCACCTCGTCCTCACCATGCCCCGAGCCTTCTTTCCACGCCTTGGGAGCCATGACCTAAAGATGGACAAGCCACAGGATGGAAGGAGCTTCATGTGTGAGTCACCACTGGAGAGCACTCACCCCAGTGGACTCGGAGAGACGTCCTCCCTCATATCCACTTTTAAATCCCAGTTACAACCTGCTGCTTTTATTCTTCCACGACTCAGTGTGGTTCAGGAGAAAGTCTACATTCTCATAAAATCTTGGTCATGGAGAGGAAAAGGCCTTTACAACATATGAGGCAAAGCCGGTCCAATGGGCAGGGCAGGCTGCCGGCAGTAAGGACCATTTGGTGCCTTCCACGGGGTAAGGAAGGGCCTACAGGAGGACAGAGCAGTGGGGCAGAAGTGACAAAGGGACGTGGGCAGTGCAAAATCTCAAAGGGTCCTGGGACCATATCAGCATCCAGCATCCACCGGGAGACCCACAGAGCTATTCAGGGAAATTGATACAAAGCTCTACCTGCCAAGGTCACAAGGGATCAGCCTCAGAATAATGGGTGAATCAGGGATTAACATGTCCATTTTATTGGTGAGAAAATTAAGTTTTATAGAGATTAGAATCTTTGTCTGTATACTGTCAACAGAAGTTTGCTGCCATTAATCGAAAGGCCAACAGGACTCCCCAGTCTGCGGTGGAGCATAAGGAGAAACTTTATTCAGGTCAAGTGTTTGCTCCCCAAAGCCACAGAGGAGGCCCACTTATATAAAGTACCCACCCTGGTCCCTGATTGGTCCATTTATAAGCAAATGAGGAATGCAAATTTGCAGTTTGATTGGTCCAAAAAGCACTTTCCTGATTGGTCAGAATCAGTCATCCTGATTGGTTGATATCAAGCCACTTTGATTAGTTCCTAAAGATGCAAATAAGGCTACACCTGTACAGCTCCAATTGGAGTGGAGGACAGGCCTCA